ATTAGATATAAATAAATATAAAATAATTATTTGTATTTCCAGAAAGTGGTGTTAATGGGGACTGTGTTGCAGCAATTGATATAAACACTGTTGCAAACGATGTGTACAAACACAATTTTCCACATGTTTGTCTCATGAATCGCAATATTCAGTCAATTACTGCAGATGAAATAAATAGTCTGCATATAGACACTATATTAATGAGTCCTCCTTGTCAACCATATACAAGGATAGGCCTCCAAAAAGATGTATCCGATAATAGGTCTTCTTCATTACTCTATGTACTTGAACTCATACCAAAAATAAAAACATTGAAATATATTTTGCTAGAGAATGTAAAGGGATTTGAGAAGTCTGAAATGAGAAATGCAGTAGTAAAATGTCTGAATAATTCCGAGTTTTATTACAGAGAACTGATTTTAAGCCCTTGTCAGCTTGGTATTCCAAATAGTAGACACAGATATTACCTGCTAGCCAAGAAAAAGAATCTCAAATTTTGTTTTGATAATGCTACATTAAATTTTGATCTACCAGAGAATATTTTAAAAACTTTAACAAGGAGGAAGCATAAATTCTTAGGAGAAAGATGTATTCAAGATATGGAGAGTAATAAGGATTGTTACGTGTTAGATAAAATTTTAGAAAATGTTGAGGATGTACAGTACCTGGTACCAAGTAAATTATTACAAAAGAGAGCTTGGGTGTTAGATTTAAGAACCTCTGAAAGTAGTGGTTCCTGCTGTTTTACAAAAGCTTATGGCCATTATGCAGAAGGTACAGGATCTGTGTATTGTCCATACTCGGAAGAAGTGATTAAAGAAGCATATTTAGCAGCGAGTAAATACAGTCGCGAAACGTTAGAAGCATTAGAGATACTAGAAAAATTGAAGTTGAGATATTTTACACCTAGGGAAATCTGCAGACTAATGTGTTTCCCAGAAGATTTTACATTTCCTGATCACATCACAAAAAAACAAAAATACAGACTACTAGGTAATTCAATTAATATATATGTAGTTAGCAGATTAATATTCTTATTGCATACTGAAAAGCAATTTGTATAAATCTATACTACAGAAGTACAATATTTTTCTATAAATATAGAAAATACTGGTGAGAAAATGACAGATTCAATTACATATTCTATGTAAAAACATTCGATTTTTAATACAAATAAAACTGATCTATACATAGATATATGATTTTACATATTGGTTATAGTTTTTTCAGCATCTTAAATCAGTTTATAATTAATATAATGCACAAGTGCACTATAATATTTATCTGCATTTCAACTGCTTCA